TCTGCTGTGCTCACGCGGCGGCCCGCCGGGCCTCGCGCCCTTGCCGGCCGGCCGGGGCTGGAGAGCTCAGCGGCAGAGGTAGATGCCGCGCTCCTCGCACACGGCCACCAGCTCAGGCTGCTCCGTGTTGTCCACGTAGAGCTCCTGTACGCGAGAGGGTGTGCGATGAGCATTGGGCGGGGGAGGGGCGTGTGGCGAGGGGGGGCGTCTCGCGCCTCCAGGCTCGGGGCGGCCCCCTCCTTGAGGGCGGCGGCCAGCGCCTTGCAGCCCTCGTCGCCAATCTGGTTGCTGCCGAGAAAGAGCGTCTCAAGCCGCGGCGCCGCCCCGCTCGCGAGGACCTCCGCCAGCTGCGCCGCCTCCGCGTCGCCCCAGCCGAGGTTGCTGTAGTGCAATAGCGTGGGCAGTTCGATGCCGCGCTCCTCGCACACAGCCACCAGCTCGGTGCACTCTGCCGCGCCTTGCTCCTTGAACAGTGCTGCCAGCTCGGCGGGCTGACCATCCACGTAGAGCGTCTGCACGAGGGGTGGTGCGATGGGCATTTTGGGTGGGGGAGAAGCGAGTGGCGAGGTGGGCTATCGCGCCTTCAAGCTCGGGGCGGCCCCCTCCTTGAGGGCGGCGGCCAGCGCCTTGCAGCCCTCGTCGCCAATCTGGTTGCTGCCGAGATTGAGCCCCTCGAGCCGCGGCGCTGCCCCCTCCTTGCCGAGGGCGGCGGCCAGCGCCTTGCAGCCCTCGTCGCCAATCTTGTTGCGCTTGAGATAGAGCGTCTCGAGCCGCGGCGCTGCCCCGCTCGCGAGGACCTCCGACAGCTGCGCCGCCTCCGCGTCGCCCCAGCCGAGGAAGCCGTATTTCAGCTCGGTCGCCTTGCCAAACTGCTCCTTGAAGGCGGCCTCGTACAGCCGCTTCACCAGCGGCTTGTCGTCCTTGCCGTTGGTGAAGCTCTTCTTCTCCAGCTCCGCCGCGAACGCAGACGGCAGCAGCGGAGGGCGCCGGCCGCCCTCCTGGGTGCAGTCGTCGATGAGGCTGTTGTAGCCGTACTCCTTGCCGGCGCGCATCTTGCCGAGGTCGAGCGAGAGGAAGCCAGCCTTTGTCAGGCCCGCCCAGGCGCTCTCGGTGGCGCACCAGCCGCGGTCAACGTAATCGGCCACGTTGGTGCCCTCGGCCTGGTCCTCCGCCTTGTGGCCGTCCGGGAAGGAGGTCAGCCGCAGCACGCGTGTGTGCTGGTGGGAGTAGAGCGTGCCGAGGCAGCTCAGCCCCTGCTTGAAGAGCGCGTTCTGCTCCTCGGTGCGCAGGACGCCGTTGGGGGGGTCGGGGTGCTGGTGCAGCGAGCCGAAGTCCCAAAACACGCCGAGCCGCGTGATTCTGCCGTCATTGTTAGTGAGCAGGGCCTTGAGCGCCCTCGCGACGCGGGCGAGGTTGGCTCCGCGCGGGTCGGGGTGGTCCTTGGTCAGCCACGGGTAGGAGAGCGCTCCGACGGGAAGGATATTTGGATGGATGGTCGCCTCGACGAGGTCGGCGAAAGAGAGGAAGGCCTCCTTGGGCAGCGCCTGGCGGTGGGAGAGGACGCCGCCCGCCTCGGCGTGGCTGATGATCCACTGCGCGTCGAGGAGGGCGGCGGCGCCGCTCGCGAGGACAGGCTCCAGGTCGCCGCCGCCGAGCTCGCGCCACAGCTTCAGCTTCTCCTCGTAGGCCAGGCCCGGCTTGCTCGTGCCGCAGCCCATCGCTTTCGCCTGCCTGTGTAAGGCCGATCGACTTTGAGCACCGTGCTGTGTAGCTCTTTGTGTCGCGATGCTTCCTGGAAGTGTTGGGCTTTCCGGCCCACACTCGGCTCTTGAGCTGAGTTGCCGGGAACGGCAACTGGGGTCCGTTCTGAAAAATTGGGGTCCCGGGACCGGGACCCCGGAACCCGGGACCGCCGCGCAGCGGCGCAGCGCGCGCAGCGCGCGGTGGGGAGGGGTCCCGGGTCCCGGGACCCGGGACTTGGGATGGTAGGGACTGGGGACCGCCTTAGCAACACCAGACAGACACACTCGAGTACCACACGCCCGGACCGCCCACCGCCCGGCAGTCGACTGTCGAGCTTGGCTTGACGTGCCAGGTGGTACGTGCTGGGGCGTGCCTCGCCGTGGGACAGCGCGCGCGGACTGAAGCAGAATGAGTCGGCCTGTGTCCTATCGACGCCAGACTCGACCATATTACGACTACCTGCCTCCAGTGCGGAGGTAGGCGAGGATGGACTGCCACCACTGGCATATGTCCAAGTCTGGGGACCCGCGCCGGCATCCAAGATGGTGCCAGAGGCTGGCCAGAGGGTCCCACATCACTGCAACGGTAATGACACTGACATAGCTAGCCGTACTGCTGGCCACGCCATGGCGATCCACTCTCGCGGCGTCAGCGGCTGAGCAGCGTCGCAGATGCTGTCGCGAAGGCCGGTCGGGGCCGCATCGGTGAGCTGACCCAGCCGGAAATCTCGACGACAACAGAAGATAAACGCATACCAGATCTTCGACTGCGCGCTGACCCACGTGTCTCCGTGTCGGTAGAAGAAGCGAGGCAGTCGAAAGACGAGCGCGATGCCGTCAACGACGACACTCGGCTCGGCTGCACCCACCGCCACCACGGCAATCGCAACGAAGAACGATAAAACCGCACGAGAACCACAGCACAGAATGGCACCGCAAGCGCCAGCGTGGACGAATGACGTCTCACGCCAACGCAAGCCTGCAGGTAGGCGCGGTAGCGGTAGACGGGCGAGCCACAGCTGGCAAGATGCGGATCGACATAGACCTTGCTCGAGCCGCGGCGAGCCGAAAGTGGAGCGTGTCAGGATCGGCGCCTCGGCTGTGAACTGACCTCGCTGTGAATGTCACCGCCGTCACAGACACTATTGTCCATGAATGGTAAGACTGACGCTCGCCAGCTCGACGCGCTCATGCAGCTGTCCGAGGCGCTGCAGGAGTGCCTCGAGGCGGCGGCGCCGCAGCCAGACTCACTCGCCATCCTCTCGCTCGGACGTCGGCTGCTCGCCATCTGCGCAAAGGTCGGTCGCTTGTCGTCGGCCGAGGCGGATTCCGCCACTGCCGCCCTGCTGGCCGTCCTCGACGAGGAGGTCGCCGCAGGCGCCGGCGCTTCAGGTGCCGGAACTGCGGGTGGGCCCGGCGAAGCAGGCGCGGGCGCCGACCCTCCTCGGGACGCGGAGGCGTGGGTGCGTGCAAATCGCCCGGCCCCTAGCATTGCCTTAGGCGGGCTGTGGGAGGGAGCGGAGCTGCACGGGAGTTTTTGGCAGCGAGATATGGGGAGATATGCCTGCGCCGCACCACCGGCCGCGTCGGGCCCAGCCACCACCGCCTCACGCCTCTGCAGTCACCACCACCGCCTTCTCCGCCTTCACCGCCACCCGCCCCGCTCTGCCACGCTCGCGGCGGGCGCGTTGGGTTTGGGTTGGTGCTACTGCGATGCACTCACCGGCACACCTCCGCTGCTCAATGTCTTGACGATTTGCTACCCTGGGTTGGATGGACGCCGGCCGTGACCGGGCGAGTAGAGGCACACGCACACTCTCTCGAGGTCTCTTGGAGCAGAGCCCCGGCGAGCCCTCGAAAGAGCCCAACTGCCCAATGGGTCCTCGGAGAGGGTACCCTGGGTGGGCGGGGCCTCCACTCGCCAGGATGCCGGCCGTGACGTGACCCCCCAGGTACGCGCGTGGTGTCGCCGCGCGAGAACGGAACTGCCCGCGCCGGCAGCGGCCTCGCCGACGCCACTGCGCTGCCCCTCGGGTGCTGCAGCGGCGGTCCAGAGCAGAGGCCACGGCGGCGGCGGCGGCGGCGGCGGCGGCAACCGCGGCGGCAACCGCGGTGGCGGCGGCAGTGGCGGCGGCAGTGGCGATGGCGGCGATCGCTGCGGCGGTGGGGGGGGTGGAGGCGGCGGCGGCTGCGGGAGCGGCACCGCGGCCGTGTTTGCGCCCTTTGCGTCGCCACGCACGCTGCGGCTCCTCCAGGCCGGCGCGGTGCAGCGAGACGCGCCACAGGCGGTACCGCCCGCGAGTTGCGGGTAGTAAGGAAGAGTTGTTCATTCACGGAGAAGCATTCCACAGGCGCCTCCCCCGCCGGCGCCGTTTCCTCCAAAGGCTCGGCGCGCGGGCGGCGGCGCGGGCGGCGCGCGGGCGGCGGCCCGGGCGGCCGCCCGGGCCGAGGCGGCCCGGGCGGCGG